TATATATATTTATAAAGCAATATTCCTATGTAGGCATTCGTTTTGATTTAACTATATCTATTAAATAGCGTATATCAAAAAGGGGTGTGAATTGGAAAGGGATAAAACTGAGATGAAGAAATACTCGGACAGATAAAAATAAAGGCAGAGATGGTAACGTGTGCTTTTTCAAAATATGAACTGGGAAACGAGCTGAAAACAAGATAGATAGATAGATAGATAGATAGATAGAGACAGACAGACAGACAAACAGACAGATAGACAGACAGACAGACAGACAGGCAAACAAACAGACAGACAGACAGACAGATAGGCAGACAGACAGACAGACAGACAGACAGACAGACAGCGGATGGGGAGGGAAAGAGAAGGGGAAAAAATAAAAGATAATTAAGAGAAGTATTTTGGTAGCCTTTTACGTCACCTTGGCTACACGGGGGTCTTCCGAAATCAAACGGAAATGTCCGAGAAGGGACGCAGGTGGCCGAGTCTGGCTTGCTTTTGTCTGCCACGCCACGGATACGTCGCAGCACGTGACGTCTCATGGCCAGGAGAGGACAGTCACTCACTCACACGTCAATCACTTCAATCAGCCATTTGTGTTGTGCGGTGGCCGTATGGGTAACGAACAGTGCATGATACTCGTATTGTATTGTGGCTATAGTAAAGTCGTGTGAACCCAGGGCGGGTACACGCCTGTAAAATGATAAACTTTAGTTCTTCTTATAGATTAATGATGTTTGGCCAATAAATGTAAATCTAGCTCATTTTCATTTTTTTAAAAAGGAAATCTCAAAGACAGTAGCAACTTATTTTACGTCAAGCTTACACAATGATGTCTGGTGTAAGCCTCCGAATCTCTGCTAACCACTTGTCGTTTCCGTAAAATTCCCATAGAAATCGTGGATTTTTTCGACACGTCAAGGCAAAGAACTGTTTACACTAATAACTACTTTTTATTATATCATGACTTTGTGAAGAAACACTTGTTGACAGGGACTGGAAATAGTTGAATTCGGAGAACGTTGGGTTGTCTGGGCCCGCTGTGTTAACTCCAACTAGAACTTTCCATCAAGAAACAAAATCCACGGATTGTTGCGCACGTTTTCACACACAAAAGTATCGGAACGTCCTGGCTTGCCAAACGTGGGTCAGTCTGATGTCTTAACTGTGGAAACTATCCGTTGTCTGTTATACTTAAGACCTCTCACGGGGAGGGATTATTGCATATTACCTGTCAACGACACTTTCGACCATGATATAGATTTTCCGAACAAAAGGGTTTGCATAATGTAAGCCTTCGAATGCATCACCTCCATGAACATTGGCCAGGAAATATGAAGTGAAGGGAAAACCTAGATTAGTTAAATTTTTTAAAAATTATCAATGTGGTCAAATAATTTCAACTTTCAAGTCCAATAATAAACTTTACATAAAATATCATATTTCGAGATATTTTGAGCACGATATCGTATTTCTCTTGCGTTCAAAGACCACTTAACAAATTTGACACGCACAAGTATAATATTGTTACATACAAGTCAAGTCCCATACTATCACCAACACGTTTGCAGCAAATCTGAGTTCCTTGTCCGTCTATCTCCAAACACATCAGTCGTGAGTCAAATGACCTGGTCCCCGCGCAACGCGCTATCGTATGATATTATTATGAGCTTTGTTTCACGGGGCGAGGGGGCCTGAACTGTCCCAAAGAACTTCCAGTCCCTGTTGGCCTTTTCGCAGTCTTTACACTTTATGCCCGTGAGATAACAAGGGCGTCCAGTGACGTACTGGCCCAAAGATAACGACACAGCGGTTGTAAATGACGGCCAGGAGGAGGAGGAGGAGGCATAGACGGTGACAGAGTTTGGGGGAAGGGGGAGCAAAAGCGAGCTGTACCTGTGAGGTAACATTATGAGCTCATGGTCATAACTGATGAGGAGAATGCATCACAGATGGGGTCAATGGGTTATGGTCTAGTGGTGTGAACGTTACGACAGACAGACAGACAGACAGACAGACAGACAGACAGACAGACAGACAGACAGAC